TGCGATTATACACTGACTATGAAAGTATTTCAGCCACTCTGTAAAACAGCTATATCGGGTTTTTTCGTAACTTTACATATCGACGGCTACCTCAGCAAATTTTTCTAGAACGCCCTATTTCAGAATTTGGTTAAAGGATGCCCTATCTCGGAATTTGATTGAAGAACGTCCAACTCAGAATTTGGTTGAAGAACGTCTTAACTCAGAATTTGATTGAACAACGTCTTAACTCAGCAAATGGTTTAAGAACGTCAAATCTCAAGTAAATTCAATGTATCGTCAGCTGAGAGAGGGCCTTTTTGTACCATTTACTAAGCATTCTTCAACCAAATTCTGAGAAAGCGCGTTTTTCAATTGAATTGTGAGATAGGGTGTTCTTTGATCAAATTCTGAAGTAGGGCTTCTCCAGCCATTTTCAGCCACCGATGTAGTTTATTCTGAAAACGGCACGGTAATTAACAGTAAGAAACTTAAAAATACTCTTGCAAAGTTTATTAGATATAAAGAGCGTGTCAGACGTGGCAATGCAATATATGTATTTCGAAAAGGCCGTAAGATTTAGAAATTTCAGAAAGCAGTTGAGCAGTCACGCCTTGCATGTAAAGCAGCTGTTAGACGTGGCAAGTGCAAGTCTGTCAAACTCAAGAATTTCCAAAAGAGATTGCAGGAGCAGTTACACCTTGCACGTAAAGTGGCTTTCGAAAGCAGTTTTTATTTCTCCAATACTACTTTTTGTCTGTTAACGCGACGAATGCAGACAAGTCCACTTTCAACTATGTTACCAGACATTTTTATGCTTATAACAAAATTGATGACATGAAAAATTTACTAAACCTGTTAAAATGTACAAAAAGCAGTCCCAAAATGTCTAATACATTAATACTAAAATACTCCACATGAGTAGAATAAATTAGTTACACATATTTTAATCAATATTTTTAGAATTGTATACAATTTCGCCAAGAAACGCGTCACACGGCAAAAATTAAAGTTGCTGGTGCAGCACGAGCAAGTTGAAATATAGGGCCTGTTCGAGGCACGTAATAAAAGCGGCATTACTGCCGTACTAATTAAAAATGGCAACATTGTTGCAAATGCCCAGCTGATAATACATTGCTAGAAATTCACACAGAACGTGATACTTTAACAATTCGCGCAACACTGCGGTTGTGATTGCTACTCGAACAAACCCATATTTACGAAATCGATTTGCGCTGTCTCTTTTGAAGTCACATCTTGCAACTTTTATCTCTGAAGCTGATTTCCGAAATGTGACAGAAAGGTCTTTCTGGCTGTTCACACAGAAATATAATTTCCATTTCTCAATTTAACAGCAATTGCGCGGAAAAGTTGGAAATATTGCCACGTCCGACACGCTCTTTAGTTTTCTTCAAAATTAAGTATAATGGTAATTTTCATACTGCCATTCACCATTTATAATCCGAACACTCCTGTAATCCGCGCGGCCTCCGGATTCTGTCTGAGGATTAGCGAGATTTAGAAATAAATTTGAAGATTTTTTTTTTTTTGTTTTAACTATATTGACGTAATTAAGGGAGAACTTTAGAAAGTTACGTACATATGTATGTACATGTGAAAACAGTGGACTACTAATGTGTTTGAATAAGTGAATATGTACATATGTATTAGGGTGCCCATCGAAAATGTTTTTTTTTTTTTTGGAAATTTCAAGATCCTACCCCCTAATTTTAAACATTTTTATGAGAAATATTATTGCGTATTTTTATAGATTTTTTAAAGGTCATTTAGAGGTCGCGACGTGACGATTTAGGTCAGAAAATAGGATTTAGTGGATTTATGAGTTTTTGAATGACTATTTTTGATCCGATTTCAAAGATCGAATGTGAAAAAAGGACATATTGGCCTTTAAAATGGTATATAACGATCCATTCTCGGACTTGGGTGGTTGGTATTTCTTGTTGGGTAAAAACACCCATATTTCTCCGGTAAATAAACCATACAAATTCAAGGCCGTATTTAAGAAAAGCCCGCATCAAATCGAATCAAAAATAGTCATTCAAAAACTTATAAATCTACTAAGTCGTATTTTCAGACCTAAATCGGCAGGTCGCGACCTCTAAATGACCTTTAAAAAATCTATAAAAATAGGCAATGATATTTCTCATAAAAACGAATAAAATTTGGGGGTAGGGTCTTAAAATTTCAAAAAAAAAAAAAACGCATTTGCGATGGGCCCCCTAATATGTATATATTTTTGCAGTTTGGTCAGAACTCTCGCGTACAAATAAAAATACAATGCAGCTTTGCTCAAACGACGGTCAAAATACCGAAAACGAATAAAAAAAAATTACAGAATATATATATGTAGATAATAAAGTACAAATATCATTAAAAGCAAAAAAAAAAACAGAAATAAAACTGGGAAACCTACCTAAAGCTACTAAAACACGAAAAAAATCAGTGCCCCGCTAAAACGACGGCCTGCCCGAACACATCCACGATTACTTCACTAACGAGGAGCACGACGAGGCGAAAACTCCACCGCAACCGACAATCCCCACACTCGTCAGAGTGTTGCGGTGAAAAATGTCAACATTCTTAAACAACTTCTTCCCAGCTGGTAAGTGTGCTTAATCAGGGATCACACGATTTGTACATTTGGCAGTCACAGAGAGGTGTTGTCGAGAAAATTTTATTGAGAATGAGTTCAGCTCAATAACAACTTTCCAAACAACACTACTCTGTAACGGTGAAAATGGACAAATCTGTATGAATCAGAGACATAACTATTATAAGAGAAAAGATTAAAAGTCAATCAATAATCATTATATTTAGATAAATATTTTTCGAGACTCATCTATAATTATTATTCAATGACTTATATTATAAAAGACTAATCGCGGGAACTCGGGTTGTGACAACGCCATCGCGAAAATCCCTGGATCGGAAAAAGCCGAAAAATTAACATCCCTAATGTACATAGATAAAGACATGATGAAATCAAAGTTAAAGAGCGAGTTGGAAACGCTTAAACGTCTTGTCTTGCAGTTTTTATTTTGGCTGACAGCAACTTCTTTCCAATCTTACAATATACATATCTGTGGTCATAAGCAATAACCGCCTAAGTCGTCTATAACTTTTTAAATAGTCTAGCTGGCGAGATGTGGACTTCACATACATATGGAATAGTAGTTGCAGAATACGATAGCATATATAACTCAATTCTTTCTTAAGTCGACGTAGGCAGTTATTGGTTATGACCACAGATATTTGTGTACGAGAACCTAAGTAACGCCGTTTTATAATTCGCCTCCACGCTAAATACGCCGCGTTTTAAATGGGTTTTTTTTTGTTGTTGTATCCAGAAGCGAATTAAAGCTCTATACAAAATTGTACAAATGAGTAATAAAGTCATAAGTTGAAATTACGACCTCTTGAATTAAAAATGTATATATGATGGCCACACTGATTCTGGATCACATGGGAATTATTCGATCAACAATTATTGTGGCAGTGTTACCCTTTATGAAAGAGCATCACGTTCTACGCGAAAATTTAGGCGATTCTGTCAACATCAAGCGTTCCAGGGGAAAAAATTTTACAATCATCACTAGCAAATAAAACCCGGTAACAAAAGGTATGATTGAAATTAAATGCCGTTCTCGAAGTTTTGTTCTCAACAACGCATAAAAATCCAAACCGAAATGATAACAAAACCTTGTGGAACGTTCCCAAAAAGAACAAAATGCGAACAAAAGTCTCCGGAACTTTTTGGGAAATGCTCAAATCGGGATCAAAAGTCTAAGGAACTTTCTCTCGAAGAACCATTTGGAAACTAAGTTCTCAGGAACTTTCTGACAGAACGAAAAGGAAAAATCACAAAGGAAATGTGCATATAACATAAACATTCGCAATCGCCTTGATTGTCAATTTTGGTTGAATGCATACAATTTGGTCATTCAGTACTACTCTGAAAAATATGCCTTGACACTAGAACAAAATTGTTTATAGTAGAAAATGTCGTTTTGCTTCTGCTTCTCTACTACTATAACGTCCGTCAAGTTAGCACTACACTTTTCGAAATTGGAAAAGTTAACTATGACATTAATTGTAGTGTTCAGGTTTTTTCGACTTAGGCGGTTATTGCTTATGACCACAGATATGTATATAACGCGCTCTTTAACTTTGATTTCATCATGTCTTTATCTATGTACATTAGGGATGTTAATTTTTCGGCTTTTTCCGATCCCGAGATTTTCGGGATGGCGTTGTCACAATCCCGAGATCCCGAGATTAGTCCCTGGATTTAGATATTCATTACTTTTCAACAACTTGAATCGAAATAATTGCTTATATATTGTTTGAGAAGCTCTCCTACCATGAAATAAATAATAAATAAATGGGGGGGAAACCATGGTATAATAATTACAGGTATTGTTTTCCCAGAGAGCGCATATTACGATCTGCCTTATTTAAAAAACATCATTGCTGCCCATACTAAAACGTTTACTGCTGGAAATATCCCTTTTTTCCATACGCCATACACAATAGGGCTGTTCGCGATTCGGTGCATAAGAGCTGACGAATTTATGCAATTGCAGAAATATGCCATGGATTGTGAGCGACCTTTATTAAACTGTCATGGTAAAGCTTTTGCAAAACAATTTTTGTGCATCAGCTTTGGTTTTGTTTATGAATGCAATGCATAGCATTTTTATGCTATGGATTTTCGGTATTGCAAATTTGCCAAGCCATGACAAATGCAAATGCGTGTATTTTGTTTGTGTATTGCAAATAATTTGCAATGTAATGATGCTAGGCCATTTGCACCAGATCGCGAATAGCCCTCATATATGTTCACGTATTTCTTTAACAAACCATCTTACAGAGAACTTATAGCCCAGCAAAATTAGACTTTTTCTTAAAAAAAATTTGTAACAGCTTTCATTGAAAAGCAAAAAACGTTGCCCGTGGATTAGGCCTACTGGGGAAACCACGATAACAAAAACGCGCCGAAAAACTATACTTCAGCGGTGGTGTGGAAATGAGTTTTACGACGCATCCCGTACATCGCTATGTTTATCGCTTTCCCGACCGTGATCTAAGCGTCGTACAAAACAAATGTAGGTACAAAAGATGTGGGGAATGAAATTCTCTACATCTTTGGAATTTCAATATGCTATGTATTTTCAACAGAAATTCTCACAAAATGGCGTGACAATGTACATTTTTTTTGCAGTTTTCGTTAATTTTTTACAATAAATATGCCAATTTTAAAAAACCTTCTATATAAGAAATGTGGGAAATTAAATTCTCTACATATTTGTGTTTAACCATTTTTTACGAAAAATTCAAAATAAGCCTGCAAATCGCAAAAAACCCAAAAAAAACTTAAATCAAAGATGGTGGAATGTTGCCAAATGAAATTCAGGGACAAGACTGTGGATCCAGGATCTACGAGTCAAATAGAAGTAAACTGCATCAAAAATTCGCTGTTACAATTTTTTATTTTTTTTTTCAAATTTCCTACCAACTGAATCTAATTTTACTGGACTGTTATTCAATTTGCAAAAGCCGGAAAAAAATTGCTTGTAAACAAATTCAAAATTTGTATGGCCCACTTAATTTCAAACGTTTTTTTTTTGTTTTGAAAAATTATAAAAATTAAATTGAGCGAACAAAAAGTAAAAGAATCAACATTGAACTGCGTCAAAATGAAAATAAGGGAGCGCGAATTTCGACCTACTTTTTTATTTAAAGTGGCGTTTTTATTTTTTCTCTCTGACCGCAGGATTTATTTTAAAGGACTTTGTAATTTCAAAGATATGATTAATTCCAAAAATTATTAAAAAATTCAATGCAATGTAGAATAAAAATATGGGTAACAAATGCAATAGGAAATTTCTTTGGAATTTAAAAATTTAAATTTTTTGGATTCACCAGGACGAATTGGTAATTTTTAAGCTGACAAAGTTAGAAGAACGAAATGCGAACAAATATTGCGAAATTTCAATTTTTTAACGACCTTTAATTTTTTATAACCAACTGCTAAGTTTAATTATTATTTGTGCCTGAGAAAACATCCATATCTACAATATTAACTAGTAGATTGTGCTAACTAAAGTAAGATATGAAATGTTTATTTCAATATTATTAATATTTCTGGAAAAAACCGTATCAATGGTAGCCGCTCCTTTGGCTGTTGGATCATTTCTACCATTAATCACTTCCAGTAAACATTTTTCTTTAAAAAATTTTGCCAGTTCATCAGCTTTGGCCAACGAAAAGTTGACGTTGAAATCTTCTGCAAGAATTGCAGGCAGATCATAACGGTCTACTTACCTTTATCTTAATATTTATCATTCATCTCCTTCTTCTTCTTCATCTTCATCTTCACCTTCGTCTTTATCTTTATCTTTAGCTTCATCTTCATCTTCATCCTCATCTTCATCTTTATTCAAAACCATTTCTTTTGATACCCATATTGGGACACTTTATTTATTTTAATAAATAATTTGGATTTTGATTTTCATATATATGGCAACCCTTTAAAAAATTAAAATCATATTAAGCATCTACACATCAGGCCCTTTCATTTGACACCTCATTTTTGAAAATCGGACGAACGATACAGATTTTATGACTTGGTGTTAAATATTTAACGCAACCCTCTGCGGCAGAGAAATTTTGAATTCGATTTTCTAACATGTGGCAACTCCTTTCATGGAACTAAAGCTAAAGTCCAGGGTCCCGGGATCCCGGGATTAACATTCCTAATGTACATACATTGTTTTTTATGTATGTATGTATTTCGCACTTCTTCAATTTCGACTTCATATGGAAACTGAAGTATGTACGCTAATTCTCAAGTTTTTGGTCCTATGTTCGTAGGTGCGTTTTAGAAAGTGTTTTCTCTCTTTCATCTTTTAAATATTAACGCATACGCATATGTATGTATGTATGTATGTATGTATGTACAAAGTATTGAGTGGGGCGGTAAGTTGGCCCTAAATATTTTGGGCTATGAAATTTGTAAATCATTTAATACCTGCCAGTTAGGTAGATCCATCGACGTGCAGCCGAAACGCAATTGTGTCACTTGTTCAGTGACGTGTAGGCGTCGACGAACGTGCTCAGTGATATATGTATATATATATATATATGTATGAATTGATGTAGATAAAATTGCGAGTGCACTCATTCGCAAGCGTATATATGTATGTATACATATTTCCAAAAAGTTGCCTCGTTTACATTATATGTGTGTACATATCACTTTTTTTATGAAACTTGTTTCTTTTTTCTTCGCTTCTGCATCAAGCAACTTCGGTTGTTACGATTTGGTTCAACTGTTTCTCGGCCAGTTTATATTTACACTTACCCAGTTGGAAAATTGCACAGCACTAATAGGAGTTGCATAT